AGGGAACCCCAGTCGAATAGCCGCGTTGGACAGCCTGCTCCACCTGATCGGGTCATACAATGATTTGAGGTCTAATAAAGCACAACCATTGGATACACCAAGTTTGACGCGCAACTCTTGACCGACTGCTTTCAAGAAAGCCTCCTGCAAAGCCGACTTGCCAGCAACTGCAGCATCCCACTCCGTGGCCGTGTCGCACGACCAGCACTTGATGTGAGGCTCCCGGATGAGGGTATACAAACGACAAGCTATCGGCAACAAACCCATGATTCGGTCCCCACCTGCCCTCTTGGGTAAGAGCCGCCCCAAAACACACAACAATTGGGTCGGCCATGTACCCGTATCTTCCATCAGGTTGAGGATATCTGCGAGTGCTTCGTGACCTTCGGACGGTAGTCTTTGAATATCCAATGGTGCCAGTTGGTCTACTCCAAGCCCTGCTCTAGCTTTCATGCGTACAGCCGCAGATCTCACCTCGCCGCCGTCGATGGGAGCTAACCCCTGTATGCGAGCCCACTCTCTCATGTTGGCGAACGCGGCGCAGATCTCGTCGATGCTGGTATCAGGGTCGTACCACAGCTCATGCCACTTAGTCGCTTTGGCATCGATCACATCTTTCGGATGAAAAAGAAAACTACCATTGTGAAATAATTCGTCTTGAACTGTCGGCAAGTCCTTGATGCCCTTGTGTAGCGCTCCAGACGCTTCAGCCGACGAAATCCATTCTTTGAGCTCTGAAAGGGAGTGTCGAAGAGCTCTGCTAGCAGCACGCTTCGCAGCGCGCTGTGCTACCAGCAAGAAGCTGTCCAGGCTTCTCCCAGGAAAAAAGAAGTTGCTGCATAAGAAGGTCACCCAGTGCTCCCAGTCTTCGCAATCGTTGGACGGAAGAGCTGCATGATTTCCCTCAGGGTAGTCGGCACCGAGCCTGTTGCCAAGCTCGCGGAGGTAAATCAGCCGACGTGCTCCATTACCTCGCTCCCGATGTCTCGTAACTTTCACTAGAACCTGATTTACTCGCGACCACCAGTTGGCCACCTTGTCTTGCAAGAGAGCCTCGCGGAAGGTGGCCGCCTGCTGAACCTGCTGCTCACGAAGACGCGGGTCCGCAGCACGTGAAACTTAACTATGAGGTAGACCGTGAAGGCTGGATATCGCGGCTTCCAAGGTAGAAACCCATCCTGCATACAGAGCCGACACGTGATGAACATGCGGTCCTGCAACTCGCATCGCCAGCGAATCATGAATGGGAGACCAGTGTGTGTAAACTTCATTGCTTTGGGACGGAATGAAACTGGACCCGATACGAGTTTGAGCCAAAACCCAACAGTCCGAGGGCACTTGGAACTCAGGGTTCCTGGCCGACGATTCAACAGCACCAGGCTCCATGTTTTCAGAGGCATCCCCTACCTGAACCTTAGGGCCGCTCAAACTGCTGCAGCTGGGGGGCTCTGAAAGGGGCTCCTGGGCAAACTCGTCACTCATGTTGGGCGGACCTGGGTCGGCTGCGGTCATAGACGAATTGGGAGACGCTCCGAGGGAACTATCACCGAATTCAAGGGATGAGCTAGCGGGCACCGAGGAACTACAGGCGGAGCTAGAGGCTGCAAGGGCCTGGACGGCCCCCGAACCCCTCTCAAACGCCGGCTTTAAACAGGTCTCCTCGGCCCACGGGCCCTCTCCCTCCTCGCCTTCGACGGGGGCAAAGGCCTCAACAACAACGGGCTCAGGGAATTTGTCACGCTCACCGTCCCCGCCGAAATCCTGGAACAAATCGCCAAAAAGCTCGAGCGATTCGTCGACGAGTTTTTCCTTGGCCAGGGCAGCTCGGACTGAGCGAGCAGCTTTCGTCCTACTGCTCTTGGAGCCTGGTGTCGGCACCGTGCCTGGCCGACTCACCTGATGGGGCTTGCTTGCAACGATGAGCGATCGTGTCAAAAGCTGCTGGCAACTGTGTCTCAACCTCACACGTAGCCCACAGTGCGGCCCCCAGGGGACATTGTGATCAGCGCGTAAATCGACGATGAACCTCTCAGCTCCTGGGCCTGCGATGAGGTAGTCGATATGTGATGCACTCTTGGCCGTCGTACATGTGAACTCTGCCTCCGACCGTCGAATCCTTCCATGGACCATTGAAAGAAAACTGGACCTCTGCAGCACCTCCGCGGTCATGAAGTTCCCTATACATATCCATGGCAACTGTTGTGCTCGGAGAAACCCTCCGAGTCGGTGAACCGTTGAAGGTTGGCTGCTCGCATGCCAATCGTGGGATGCCCATATGCCATCACAAGCCCCACTGAATATGACTGGAAATGCACAACCACAGGAAATAATCCGTCGCATGCGGAATGACCATCTGCACATAGGTCAGGCACCTCCCCCGCTGGGATCGGGAACCGATGAACCTGGAGATGCTGGCGAAAAAGAAGGACTTCACCTCCTTCGTTGGCGCGGTCACGCTTGGCCTCGGTGTTACCAAGACCTGTGCTCCTCGCCGGGTTGT